AACCCAGTACCCTGCACATCTTTTAAGATGCCTGGAACCCAGCAGGGATCGGGCCATGAAGACCCCAGACTCTCTGCATTTGGCAAGAAGGCAAGTAGAAGGGCAGGGTGAAAGCCTGAGGTGAGGGTAGCTGTCAGAGGGGCTCATTCTAGCGACCCTCCCCCGAGAAGAGCGTCCCCCTCCACTCAGCACTCCCCGAGGACCACAGTTGCCTCTTCCAGACAGAGCTCCAGGACACAGACAGTGGGAGCCAGAAGGGGGATTTGCACCTCCATCCCAGCCCTGAGGGTCATCACAGAGAACCAGCCATCATGGAAAAGGCGGAAGGAGCAGGAATTGTTGTAGGGGGGCACTGGACAAAGACCCTCTTGTCCCCAAGGCAGGGTGGCAGGAAGCCAGGGCAAAGCCTTTGCACTTGCTGCCAATGGTGCCTGGGTGCCAGGCAGTCTGGGTGGGGACGGTGGGGGTGGGGGGAGGAGCGTGGTGGTGGTGGTGGTGGTGGTGGTGGATCTTATTCTTGGAACCCCTCCCCTGCCCTCACCCCATCCCTTGCTTCTACCCCAGGCCACCAGCTAAGTCTCTGCCTCAGCAACTCTCAGCTTGCCTAGAGCATTCCTCCCTGTCAGAATGTTCCTTCCTGTGCCCCTGACACCTGTATGGAGTAGCCCATCACCAACCAGAACCAACAGAACCCCTCACGTGCACCACAGCTGCTCCCCACATACAACCACACCAGAAACCACCACCTTCACAGCTGCCACCAGTGGTGACGGAGCCTCACAATCTCCAGCAAATTCATCATCAATTTTTAAAGACCAACAAGAGGGAACAGGAAGGGAATAAAAGAAACTGAGGCACAGAATTAGACAGCACAGCAGTTGGTTCAAGGTCACCCAGACCAAGATACCAAGAGTTGGGAGGAAGGTATCCTGATGACCCCTCAAAAGTGCTCAAACCTCACCCAAAGGAACATTCAGGCCCACAAACGTGGAAGTCTGGTCAGCTTCCTTCACTCCCAACCCTCACCTGTTTACCCCTTCCCTGAAAGAGACAGCAGCTCCTCCATCTCCTCTTGAAAGGCTGCTGCCAGAAACCCTCCCAGCTCAGGGAGCCCACTTTCCTTAAAGTTGGGGTGCTGCAGGACCTCCTGGTCCCACAATATTTGAGGAGAGGGGCTGGGAAGACAGTCCAGGATCCCCCTCCTTGCCCACTTCCCGGCGACTGCTCACCTGGCTCCCCTCGACCCCCAGGGTCCCTCGGTCCGGCCTCCTCCCTGGGAGAGCGGGCTCTGCCCTCCGCAGTCCTCTCCCACCAGGCCAGGGCAAAGCGCCGGAGGCACTGCCAGGGCTGCATGGGGAGGCGTGGGGCTGGGGGGCGCGCACCAGCAGCCGCACACGCCCCGCCGGGCCCTGCCAGCCGAGCTGCGGAGGCACCCGGCCGGTCCCCTCTGCTTCCACCAGCATCCTGCTGCCCCCACCGACAGGACTCGGAGCTGGCCCGGGAGCTTCTGACGTAGCAGGGGGGTGCGTGGGAGGGGAGGGGGGGCCATGGTGCGTCCCCTTCCCAGCCCCACCCTCTACCCCTCAGCCGCCTGCCTTCCTACCTTCTCACTCACCCTAGATGCCCTCCCCAGCTGGTGGCGCCCTCCCCTGCCCTCTGGCCTCCGCAGGGGGAGGGGTTAAAATAAAATAGCCCCTCCCTAAACCCCTCCCTCTCGTGGGCCCTCCCTACCCGCCGGTAGAGCGGGGAGCTGGTCCCCAGTTTCTGCAACTGCTGCTGAGGCTCAGAGGTCTCCAGGGCTAGGGCCTCGAGGTGCGGGGAGGGGGGGCGGTGCGTGGAATCACAGGCTTGTATCCTGGCAACACGGCCAACCCCAGAACGCACTCATCCCCTTCCTTCCCTGGGGGCTGGCGCAAAGGGCCACCACCACCATCCCAGCGCAAGCACCCCATTCTGGGAGTTGGGAGAGGGAGGCCTTTGATGCACCCCTCACTTCTCCATCCCCTTCCCCTCCCCCTGCATCCTCCTCTTTCTTCACCTCGGATGGACGCCCGCCTCCCTCCATCCTCCTAACCATCCATCCTCCTTCTTCTCCCCTCCCCTGCCCCCTCCACATAAGCCCCTTTACAGTTTAACCCCTCTGGCCCCCACCCCAGGGCGCCGCGAGGCCCTCCCCACCCAGTCTCCTGCCTCGCCACCCTGCCCCCTTCTCTGGTCCCAGCACTCCTCTCGCCCTGGTCCTTCTTCCAAGCCCGGCGCACAGCGGTCCCCTGCCCCCCACACACCTGCGCCCAGCATCCCTCGCCCCGCCGGCCACCGCCTCCCCGGCCCGGCCGCCGCCCCCGCCCCCGGCCGAGGGGGAAAACACACAAAGAAAACAGAAATACCTTCCACTTAAGCATGGAGGCACATTAGGGAGGAGAGAGACAGGGACATGCCTTGGGACGGAGCGTTCCCCATCGGGCGGGGGCGCGGGGGGCGGGGGCCCCGGGCCGGCCTGCCTGGCGCTCGCCCTCTCGCCGCCTCGCGGGCTCCTCGCTCGGCCCCAGCCCCGGGGCGCGGTGCCAGGCGGGCGGGCCGGGGGCGCGGGCCCCGCCGGGGTGGACCAGCTGGGAGGGCGCCGGCGGCCGGGCGTGTGGGTGCGCGCGCGCGCGCGGGCGTGTCACCGAGTGTGCGAGAGCGAGTGTGTGTGTGTGAGTGTGTGTGTGCGCGCGCGCTCGGGCCGGCGCGGGTGTGTCACTGCGGGCGGGCGCGCGCGCGGCGCGGGCGCGCGCGTGTGGCCGGAACGTACAAAGGGCCGCCGGGGGCGGCGAAGGAGGGGGAGCAGAGGGGGTATGGCGCCTTCTCGCGCCCTCGGGCTGCACCGCGGGATCCCGCAGCGCGCGGCCCGGGCTGGGCGCCGGGCGCGCTCACTCCCTCCTCCCCGCGCCACCTGCTTCTCCCACCCCTAGTCGTCTTCGCACCACGATAGACACAAATGCATTGACTGGGAACCCGCGCGAAGGTGGCACCCGGGGGAGCGGGGACACCTGGAGGGCGGAGGACTCCTGGGTCTCCCAGCCCAGGCGTGCCTAGAGATGGAAAGGCTCTCGAGGCTGGGTGGGGAGGCGGAGCGGCGAGACTGGGGGCTCCCTTCAGCCAAGGTGACCTCGGAAACCAACAGCCGCCCCAGGCCGGGAGCGCCTGGACCCTCCTCTGCTTCTGCTTCTGCCGCGCGACCCCTCACCCCCCGGCGCCTAGACGCGGCTAGGTCAGAGGGACTGGGCTCCCCGGCGCCCTCTGCTGGGCCGCCTCCTGGCCCCCGCTCCGGGTTGCGGCCCCTCCTGCAGGCGTGCGCCGGAACTGCAGGCGCGCGTGCTGGCAGGGAGGGCGTCCGTGCTCCTCCGGCCTGTGAGACCCCACGGCAGGACGCCCCAGCGACTGTCCCTGCTCACGCTTCGCTTGGCGGTGCCACTGCCGCCTCTACCGCAGCCCGCAGAGCACCAGCTCTGTTCCACCCCGGCGTCCCCCGCCGCTCCGCGTCCCGCGTTCGTTGGCCTACCTGTTGGCTCTGCAGACTTCTCCAGCGCTGACCCAGACCCGGACCCAAGCCCGCGCCGACCCCTCGTGCTCCAGCGGCCCCCTCCCTCCCTCGCTCCGATTCTCTGGCCAGTCCCTTCTCTCTCAAGCTTTCTTGGAGAGGAGAAGGTGGGCTGAGTCCCCTGCCCCTTTTATTTACTTCTGGCGTTTCCAAAAACAGTTTAGATGAGCAAGAGATGGGACACCGTACATCTCTATTAACTATGGGCCACCAGGCAGAGTGGCAGGCAGGCAGAGAGCCCAGGAGAGGAGACCCCACCCCAAGTGGCCTAAATGACAAACCGGTTTCCCCACTTCCTGGTCTATGCAGTTGCAAACTTAATCTGGGCTCTCCCAATTTCCTGTCCACCACCAGGCCTGCCCCTGAGCCAGCCACATGCCTAGCTAGGGACAAGGTCCCAGATTCCCCTTAGAGATCAATAACCAATTGCAGTAACTCAGGTGGCAGGGCCGGGACCAGAGGAGGAGAGGCCCTTTCCAGCCCCAGCAGGACAAATTAGGAGGACAGCCAAGAGCTGTGTCCTGGACACACGGTCTGGGCACACGACCGCAGCGGCCGGCACCCTGACTTCTTCCCTCCTGGGCCAACTGCCTTTCCCTCTGCCAACTGGATGGCGCCCATCTTTTGGCCTCTGAATGCACAGTGGGCATCCATCCAGCACCCTGCCTGGCTGCCTGCCCAGGATGGGCATGGGAGGCAGCAGGCTCTATGTAGGGAGGCTCAGGGGAGGCAGGGGTAGCTTCCCCTCAGCACAGGGACACCACCTCTCAAGCAGCCGGGAGCCCAGTGCTCTGGCATAAGCTGCTCCTCCATTCAGACTCCCCACTGACCAACTGCACTGGACTGCTGCCCTTCACCTCCCCGCAACTCAGATTCCCCCCAAGGGACAAGATTTCTTCCCTCCTCCACTTTGAGCCTAAGGAGAAGAAAATCAGCAGGTGCTCTACCCATGATCTCTAACCCTTTCAATAGCCTGACAGAAGTGAGCATTGTCAACCCCATATCAGAGAGGTATAGCCAATTGCCCACTGTAAGGGCAACAAAGTTGAAATTCAAACCCACATCTGCCTTATGCCAAACCTCCCCGCCTTTCTTCTATCACCATCCTCTCATAACCCTGTGGGCCGCCACAGCAGGCACACCCCTGACACACAAAATCTCATAACCATCCAGTTGACCTGGGATCAAGAATGTGGTCGAGAGTTCAGATGTTTAGCCATGCCAATAATCTGGACGGGCACAGGGATCGGGTCCTGTCGTGGAGAGAGTGACCTGAGGCATTACCTCTAGCTGACACTTGAAAAGATGCTGCCAAGACAAGACAGGCGGATCACAAGGTCAAGAGATCAAGACCATCTTGGCCAACATGGTGAAACCCCATCTCTACTAAAAATATAAAAATTAGCTGGGCATGGTGGTGCACACCTGTGGTCCCAGCTACTCAGGAGGCTGAGGCAGGAGAACCATTGGCTTGAACCTAGGAGGTGGAGATTGCTGTGAGAGATCATGCTACTTCACTCCAGCTTGGTGACAGAGCGAGACTCTGTCCCCAAAATTAAAAAAAAGAAAAGATGCTTGTGCCATCAAGTGGAGGTTTGTCTGCCAACCCCACTGGCTTGGGGTTGGATGGAAAGGTTCTGTGAAGCAGCCCCCCGGGATGGGGAACAGTTCCAAAGGTGTCACCAGAACAAAGCATCCATTCTTGCCTGCCCTAAGGTAAGCTCGCTCATCATGAAGGCCAGCTCCATAGTAAGGAGCTTAAAATCAGATTTATGTAATATTTTTAATGTGTAAAGCTCAATTTAATGATGAATCCTTAGCATTTCTGATCATCTTCATAGCTGTCAGCTCATTTGAGACCTTTCTCCCCTCTCCTCCCCAAAGATGCTTTGTCCACACCCACCCCACCCCGCAGACTCCCTGGGTCCCCCAGAGGGGTAAAAGGGGATACAGCTCCCTGAATAGAAGCCAAGGCCCCAAGGCTGAAAGTGGAGCCAGAGGACAGATGACCTGGCACCACTACTCCTCACTGACCCCAGGAAACATGGGTGCCTTTCTCTCCTCCCATCAGGTCTCAAAATGAGGGGTTCCTGGTGGAGCGAGAAGGCTGGGGACACCATCTCCACTGATCAGGGTGAAAGCAACACAGGTATTACTTCAGCTGAGAGATGAGAATTGCTCCTGTAAGCTGGCATGGTGCCCAGGCACAACCAATGTGCCAGCTGCCTCCACCTGAGGCGCCTCAAGTGCCACCCCACCCCCACTCTCATTCCTCAACAGGTAACTTCCCTCTGGCCCTCCTCCCCTGTCTCTGGCAGTGTATTTGGTCGGGAGGGGCAGCTGGCATATTTGGGTGGGGCTTGGAACAGCAGATCCTAACCACTCACCTGGCCTCCATGCCACCCAGCCCTCACCTGTTCCTGGGAGCCGGCAATAGAGAGGTTATGGGGGTGCATCCCAGAGGAGTGAATTCTCAGCCTTGCCTCTCTTTCCCCACGATGCAATAGGAACAGGGGTTGCATCTGGACCAATAGCTGGGCAGGCAAAGGGAGATGGGCTTTGGGGTGGGCCTGGGGGGGCATCTGGGCCTCTAGGAGAAGGTACAGGGAAACAGGTAATGTGGAAACGATGTCTGGGACACCCCACACTGCTCACTCTGCTGCGTTGGAGCACCGCCCCCCCACCCCCCAGTATCCTTGAGAAAGCCCCCAGTCCATGGGATTATTGTCTAGCCAGGCATTTCATGAGACCCCCAAGGAACCATCCATACTCCACTAAGGTGGCCTGCAGACCATAGGGGCCTGGTGACCCGTTCCTGTTCTGGGGCGAGTGACCAGGGACAGTGACCTAGCACCTGGGGCACAAGAGGGGTGGGGGGAGCCTAGAGGGAGGAGGACGCTTCCCCCTGCCGTCGACC